TTTAGCTTTGTATGCAAATTGTAAGGAGTCGGAAAAACTGGAAGAAAAAAGCTTTGTAATATCTAGGGCAACTCTTTCAGCAAGCTTTAGTATTGCAGAGGAGCAGGCAATTGGGCGAAAAGATTTAGGACCAAAGTTAGCAGGCTTTTTAGGGATGGGAGTGATTCTCACTTTACGCCAGGCGTCGGGAATCTTGGACTCCATGAAAGACATATTGATTAGGTGCGTTAAAATAGGGGCTATCTGAGAACTGCAAGATTTAAGAAGAAAAGGCGAGACACCATCCGGTCCGGCAGATGTTGATCCACGGACCTTTTTCAGGTGTTTATCTACTGTTGCCAAAGACCCGGGTTGGAATGTACTCGGTGATAGGAGAATGTCTTCTAAGGGAAGATGGAAGTCATTTTGACTAAATATAAAATTTTTATTTAGAGAGTCTAAATCTGCATCCACATGCACCAGCGTGTTGCGATGGCCAGTGAGACGCTTACGATTTTTCCAAATCTCAGCTGAGGAAGGGGGGAAAGGGGGGGAGTAAGAAGAGGAAAAAAGTTGGCTGACAAACAGGCTATTTAGCCTGTCAATCTCTGCTTTTATTAAGACGGTAACGTCCTTAAGGCTATCACGTAAGCCTAGCTTGTAAAGGAGTTCTTTTTTACGTCTTAACGATTTGAGATAGGGGGAAGAAATTTTATCCGGTCGTACCATAACGGTATCAAAAGTGCAGCAAATATCGAAAATTTCATTTAAAAACGCTGTCAGGTTGGGAGAACAGGATTCAACATTAGAATGTTCAAGGAAAGTGGGAATAGTAAGAGAAATGCAAGTCTGAAGCATGAGAATGTTTTGGGCGGACGTGTTGCGAACCTTAACCTTTCTCTCAGGCTTGGCAAGCAGTGCAGGTTTTGAAGTGGAATAGATTTTTGGAAGACACAATAAAGTGAAATGTTCAGAACATGACAATGGAGCCCTGTTTTTTACGCAAAAAAGCTTGCTGTGGTTAGTCAGAATATGATCAAGAGTGGCATCTGCGCGAGTATTAAATGAGGCAAGATCATCGAAGCCTAAAAGTATAAGGGGACGTAAATTCACGCGATTAAAATCACCGCATAAGAGAGTAAGATAGTCACAGGATAATATAGCAAGTTTTTGTGAGAGGAAGTCGAAAAAAAACGGGTTAATGCGCCTTCACAGGAAGAGGGGGGAATGTAAATACTAACAAATATGATGCCTTTAAAATTACTTAACAAACGGGGCTTACATAAAACAGCAATTACATCTATCAAATCATCAGAGTAAGAAAAAAGGGACTTACAGTCTCTACACAAATTTTGATTAACGAAAATGGCAACGCCTCCACCTCTGCCATGAGATAAAGATTTTCTATCTGTTGGAAAGCAGTTGAAGGGTGGGGGAGTAATAAGTTGCGAATCAATGTGACTATTTAGCCACGTCTCTTGAAGGCAGACAACTTCAGATTTGCTGTGTTCTTTTTTCGACAAAATTAGCTCCAAATCATGGGCTTTGTTGAAAATAGAACGACAGTTTGTCGACAAGAAGGCAGGAATTGACAATTTGTGATTTGGTTGACGTTTGAATGCGAATTGGCAGCCATACCGTTGTTTTCTCCGATGCATAGGCCGTTGTTGACGAATATTTGATAAAGTCAACACAGAACGGTCGCACATACGTCATATTGGCAGTAAAGTACAACAGTTAGCATCATGGTCTGCAACTGAGCCCAGCTGAGCACGACGGAATTATTCTGCGCTCCAACTGGGACAATTTCGACTTGGATACCATTCCACAGTTACAGTCTCTGACATCGATACTGGAACCGTACGTACAGACTAACTTTGTGCATTTTTGGAATATTTTTTCACGCAT